TTATCCCTTGGCTTGGGGCCAAAGACCCATGCAGACACCAGATTCAAGTCTTTACATGTAAACTTGTATGTGTAGCCTTGCATAAGTCCACACAACCTCCTGCAGACCTATGAACCTTGTCACTTCCAACTCACAATGCAATGGAAAGGCTGTAAGGCCTGCTCAGTACATCTTTCAGATCTTCAGATGTGATTGATTGGTAGGAGCTGGAGAAACTCAAAAGTTTAATAAAGAAACTAAAATGACTAACTCCCGACACACATGTAATTTCAGTATGTTGCTCACTTATGGGAAGAAATTCCTTAAATGAGACCCTTCAAAAAAAAAACTTACCAATCCTTTAAGAAAAAGGTAACTAAATTGGTAATTCCAGCACTCAGGAGGCAGCCTCAATCTCCAGCACAGAAACCACTTTCTTCTCAAAATCTTTTTGTTATTTTAATGATTAGGTTGTTTGACACAGGGTCTCTTACAGTCTCTTACATGGACCTGGTGGTCCTGGAATTCATCACGTACCCAGAATAGCAACCAAGAGATGGCCTGCCTCCTCTGGGATTAAAGATGGACAGCCCAGCAGGCACACCTTCTCACTACTACAGGGGATGAGAAAAGGGACAGGCTGAAGATGCTCCCTGCTTTTGGGGGAAAGGGGCTGGGGCGTACCTCTAGGAAGCGAGAGTGCAGAGTCTGCTCTGTGATGTCAAGCACTTCGGGGTTGTAAATGCTGCCATTGTCAAACACCTGCTGGATGATGAGCCCGAAGGAGAAGGGGGAGATGTTGAGCATGTTCAGCAGAGTGGCTTCGCTGGCCCCCACTTTGTCTCCGGTTTTTATGAGCTGCACGTCACTCTAAGGAACAAGAAAACAAACACCAGGCAGCTACCAACCGCCTGCACACAATAACCAGCCCTCTCAATGTCAGGGTACCACACACGTCTCTTACTCACGAGGATTTCAATGGTGCCCCTGGAGATCTTCGTGGTGATGCCCAGAGCCTGGAAGAAAGAGGTCTTCTCCGGGCCCAGGCCAGTGTTCTGGGCTGGCACAGTGACCTCACATGGAGCTATGGCACCAGCACGGGCAGCCGCCGGCACCTTATTGGCCAGCAGCATGTCCCTAATCTCAGTGAGGTCCTCCTTGGTGAACACAAAGCCCACGTTCCCCCGGATATGAGGCAGCAGCTTCTCCAGCGCGGGGTTGTTCTCCAGGTGCCCGCGGATGGCCTTCCGCATCATGGTGTTCTTGCCCATCAGCACCACGGCCTTCCCTCGAAGGGACATGCGGATCTGCTGCATCTGCTTCGAGCCCACATTGTCGGCTCCCACAATGAAGCATTTTGGGTAATCATCCAAAAGTTGCTATACAACAAGCCATAAAGAAATCAAATTGAGAGGGAAACAAAATAAACAGCAGAAACCAAACCCCACAATGCTGTCAAAGCCGAGACACCTGTCCTTACAAACTTGAGGATGCCTAAGATGACCTTCTGCTGGGTGTGGTGGCACACACCCGCCTTGCTGGTTGAGACGGAGTTGTGAACTCCAGGCCAGCCTGAGCTACATGGGGAAGCCATACCTCAAAGATTTCCATTTATTGTTTATCTTTTAACTAAGGAATACTTGGTTGACTAAAAGAACACCTCAGCATTACAGCACAGGAAAACTGTTGCACGGCTGACACGGGAAGCCATGCTGTGAACATGTAAATTCTTCCGTGTCTAGACCTCACAGCCGTAATCAAAGGAAGCTCAACCAGTCTAATGGCCACCAAGGCCGGCAGATCTCACTGAGAACCTCTGACTGGCAGGTCTCCGGCTTGCAGTAACATGACTTACATTGAGTCACTGCAGCCTCGGCCCTTGGCAGAGGGCAGGGGCTCCACAGGCAGGATGCGCCCCCGGGCGAAGGAGCTAGCTCGGAACCGGGGATCCCGCATCGGCAGCCCGAGGCCACACAACCCCGGCATCGCCCGGCGGGTGACTGCCCCAGGGGCCCGGTGCGAAGCGGCTCTCCCTCCCTCCGTCCCTCCCTGCCTGCCGCGGCCCGCTCCGCGCTTACGATGATCTTCAGGAAGTAGTTGGACTTCCAGGTCGCCCTGTCTTCCCTGGGCATCACGGCGGTGCGTCAGGGATTGCCACGCAGGGTTTAAAGACGATGTCACTGGGGAGAGGAGGGCAGCGTAAGCCGGGCCGCCCCGACACCTGAGCCCGGTGCGAGGCCTGAGCCTGGGCCGAGGCGGCCATGCGGGAGCTGGGCCCGGGGAGGCCGCCGCCATCAGCGCGGGCGACGCCGCAGGCGGCCCGGGGCGGCCGGTCCCATGCCTCCCTCCCTCCCTCACCGCGCACCCCGGGCCCACCGACCCCGACCCGGGAGTCGCCACGCTCCCGTCCCCCGCCCTCCCACACAGACGCGCGGAAACGCCAACCTCTAACGAGGACGCCTGGCGAGAGGAGGCCCGCGCGCCCGCGCGCGCCTTTTATATAGGCAGGCTGCTTCGCCGATGACGACACCCACGCTTATTGGCTGGCGCCACCGACCGTCCCGCCTCACCAAATCAATAGAGGCAGCCATTGGGTGATAGCGCTGCCACTTCAGCAAGTAGTGTAAGGACTGCGCCCTGCTGCTTCAGATGCGAGCCCCCGAAGCTGCTGCCCTCTGCCGGGCCGGAGCCGCCATGCAGCGTCACCGAGCCAGCACAGCAAACTGAGAAATGTCTACTGCTTTCCAACTGAGGCGTTTGTCTCTAGCCTGCTCGGTTTTTCCGGAGTATGCCCTTGTTTCAGGGCTTTTGACCAGCTTTTCCGTCTTCCTGGAATGGTGCTGGCCAGTATCTGCCAGGGAAACTCATCTACGCGGCTGCTGCAGATGCCATCTGCTCAACGAGAAACTTACCCTGACACCGTCTAACTCGTCTAACTCACTGTATAACTTATGACATATTTGTCAGCCTCTCCCTGCAGGAATGTAAGCCCCATTAAGGCAGACATTTTGTCCTGGGCCTAGTAGGCATGTAAGTATTGTTGAATGGAAGGATGCAGGGTGGCCAGATGACCTGCATCAGTAACTCGGTTCTGCCGCTTGCTGCGTTGTCTTAGGAAGTGACTTCACTTTGCTGACCTCCTCTTTGTAACAGGAGGTTCTTATACCATTTCTGGGATACTGGAGAAAATCAACACATTAGCTTCCTTTATTATATACATTCATTCAACATGTATTTGGATAATTGTTTTGCTTTGTCTTTGACAGAGTCTGACTCTGCGTCCTGACCCAGCCTTCCAGTGATAACTCCTGCTCCCCAGTGACCGAATAACCCGCACTCAGGACAGAAAGCACAGGACAGTTTTTAAATGAAAGACCCTCAGGCTAGGAGGGCTTTTCTTCCCATCGCCACGACTCCCCTGAGCAAGCTGGCAATCTCCAGTGAATGCATCTAGGCCAGATGTTTCCAACATTTGCTACAACTGTGGGACCCAGTTCTGCTTCCCCTTGGCTAGCAAGGGTGGGGTTCGGGGTTCTGGCATCCAGTCCTACCAGTCTAGTCCTGCTTTCGTAGGCATGAAGCCATCTTTCCTCACTGCAGTTCCCAGACCCAACTACACAGCCCAGGAACTTCACAAACACAAGCATCCACTGCCCCTATCCAGGTATTCTACTGGAGTGAGGATGCCCAAGGACGTCAGAGCCTCTAGAGCTAGAGTTCCAGGTGTTTGTGAGCCATCAGCCATGGACACTGGGAACTCAACTCAGGGCCTTCGGAAGCGTTCACTTTTCTTAACTGCTGAGCCAGCTCTCCAGACCCATGAATAAATAAATATCTACAGAGATATAAATAAATGTGTGTGTGCATATGGTGGAGACTGGTAAGGAGCCGGGGGGCCTTGTTCATGCTAAGCTAGCAGTCTACTGTTACAGCTTGCTGGTGCCTCTGAAGATCAGGCGAGCCTGAGAGCCGCTGGCGTCACTGACTACTGAGGTCACTCTTTGGTGACAGTGTTTCTGCAGTCCTGATGTTACTGTCCCCCTCAATCCTAAGGTACAGTGTCCTAATGAGAAAACTCCTGAAGATTAAACCGTCTGCACTTCGGACGTAGGACCTAGGGGCAGGTTCAAAGCTCATGGGCCTCACTGTGCTACAGGCAACCAAACCCTACGCCTGTTTTCCTCTAAATGCGTTTTCCCCCAAGTGCATGCATACGATTATGGCACATTTCCAAGTACATACTGGTCCTGACGATATAAATTCCATCTCTAAGTGTAGTATACCAATCAATATAATATCATTCCACGGAGCCATTAGAAATGCTGCAAATCTGTATCCAGTGGCATGGGAAGGTATCCACACGGCGTTACCGAGAAGGCCAATCATACTTCTGTAAGGGTGGATCCAGCAAGGGTAGGAAAAATAAACCGAGTCATTATCTCCGAGTAGGTGTTGAAGGCCACGGTCACTTCCAAGCTCACTGTGATAGCCAACATTCAGAATTCAGAATACTATTCACTCTACTGCCTGAAACCTGAGCTAAGTAACAGGGAAGCAGCGGAAGCCAGGGCTTATAATGAAAAGAAACCATCCAGTTTGGGACCCTGAGATCTGACAAAAGAAAGGATGCATGTGGACCTGACCACAGGGGGCAGTAGAGGCTCCAGCAGCAGGAAGTCTGCGGCTTTCCAAGAGGAAGTGATTCCATTCTCCTCCTTCACCGGTGACTGAAGACCGCCCACAGACCAACGGGAGACACCCTCAGTGTGTCCCCTCCACAGCTCCAGAGCGGGACCTGGCCCTGTGGACCCAGTAAATGCTCCCTAGTCCAGGAAAGCTCATGCTGGGGTCAGTGGAACCCAGGGCCACAGGCAGGTCCCCGGGGCCCATTCTCTGGCTTTTGACCCCCAGGAAGGGAAAGCCAATGGGCTTCTTCCTGTGCCTCTTCTGAGTCTACAGAGATTTCGGTTTCTTCGCTGTGGCAACTAGATCAAACATCCAAGAAACAGCCCTGGCACGGGTGAAAATAATGGCAAACTTTATTGGCATAAATCACAGGAATTGAAGTGGAAAAAGCCAGGTTAGGAGTTTATAGGAAAAAGGTCAAATGACCACACATCCGTTGACCCAGAGAGTGGCCTTCCAGATGCCCCGGAGTCTCCTTGGAAAGGGTCTGGGGCAGTCACAGTAAACGGCTGGCAGTGCTGGCAGGCCTCCGGGGCGCCAAGCTCACCTTCGGGGATCTGGGCCGCTGCTGGCCCAGCCCTGACCGAGGATCCTTGTCTGGGACCCCATCACACTGGGCCTCTATTGGGAAGCTGACGTACTGTCTGGGTCCTCTGCCTCTGGACCCTTCTGCTGTGCCTGTTCCAGGGCTGGCTTCTCCCCTTCCATCCTTTGGAATGGGAACTGTGGAGCCTCCCATAGCTCCAAGTCCCACCAGGATGCCTTCACCAACTTAGGACACTCTTCCCAGGACCACCAGGCCCCACAAACATGGGTCCCATCTGTGAGAGGTAGCAACCTCTGTCCCAGTCGCCAGGAAGTTTGTGGAAGCAAATGCACACAGTAGAATCGAGTGAGCCCTGAGACCCTTATGGTCTTCCTGGTCAGAGCCAGACACCAGCTTTCCTGAGAAGGCGGGAGAAAGAGCCCAGAGAAGCCCAGATAAGGCGCTGAGAGTGTTCGGTGGATTCCCCTTGTTGCCGGAAAGTTCATGAGGAGCAGACGCTGGCTCCTGATGGCTTACTCAGGCAGGAAGCAGACCCCAAATATACACCTTCCCCTTTGCCTCCCTTGGGATCAGGACACACGAGGCTCAAAATTCCAGGTCCAAAAGGGCTGGAGACCCTTAGACCAGTTCTCAATGAAGAGCCTGTTGGCCTGGGCAATAAGGGAGGTTTGGAATTACAGCAGTTTAAAAGAGTCTTGGGGAGCTGTGAAGTTACAGACGGGGTCTCAACTCACTTGTGCTAAGAAACAAAGGAAAATACAAATTGTTTCCCCATCCCAAGCCCTCAGTATAAAGCAAAGTCCATACCAAAGCCACGGCCACTGGCAGGACAGTGACAGAGACAATGTACAAAAGGGGACTTCTTTACATCTCTTCAAAAGCATCTATCTTGTGGAGAGATGTAAAAGCAACTGGAGCAATGGGAAGTGGGACCTCAGTGTAGAAATCTATCAAAACTTTACAGTGCCAAGGCAGGGGTGACCATCCCTACCCGACACCATCCTCAGAGACGGAGATGTGGCTATATAAAAATTATTGCTGGAGAAGCCTCTCTCGGCAAACCTGGGCAATCACCCAGGCCCTGGAGACTGGCCGGTGGGACCCAAAGGGCCTTTGGAGGCCTGTGCGTGAGTTTATGCTGGCATTGTCTCGAGGGGGCCCGCTGTCCCCAGTATGCTAGGGTAATCAGGGTGGGAGAAATAAGGATAAAAAGAGCCCCTGGCTGACCCTCGCTGCCCGTCCACTCTGGCTCCATACTGAAAGGCGACAGTGGGTGAGGCTCAGGGGTGCGGTGCTGGCTCACGAGGACACACTTAGGGATGTCTGGGCCCCAGCCTCCACCTCTGGGGAGGATGAAGAGCACAGAGCCCAGGAGAGCTGTAGAAGGGGGCGAAGGCCCCTGAAACTCTGTGTCGGGGAGGATCAGGCAGGACCTCCACAGTCCTGTCCAGAACCTGCCACGGACAAGCTTCCAGTTTCTGTCGGATTGGCCCGTCACCCCTGGGCGAGGTCCTTGGGTCACAGTAGCAGTGGGTGGCGCTGGCTGGGGAGGGGCGGGTGACGGGCGGGGCCTAGCAGAAGAGCTTCAGGAAGCAGCTCTGGCAGTAGGGCTTATCATTCTGCTCCTTGAAGGTGCCCTTGTTGAGCTGCTTGAGGCAAAAGGCACAGACAAAGTGCTCCGGGTGGAACTTCTTGGCCATGGCGGTGATGCAGCGGCCGGTAATGGGCTTCTGGCAACCAGAGCACAGGGAGCCGCGCCGCTCATGGTAGTGGACCTCACAGTACGGCTGCCCATCGTGCTCGAAGAAGCTACCATTGACAAAAGGCGTGAAGCATTCCTGCCAGGCACACGAGGGAGAAAAGGCTCAGGAGCCGTCCGGGGGATGGGGGATGGGGGGGTTCAGAGGACCATCACCTCTGTGCGACCACCATCACCTCCACAGCGACCCCTGTCTGCTTGTCATTTCCTATGAACCAGACTGAATGAGGACGAAGAGGGATTAAAATGAAGAGACCTAAACATGGCCACTAGGAAATTGTATGTCCTGCATTCAAACAGAGCTTGGGGGGGGGGGGGATCTGAGCTGAAATTCTGCATCCTGGATCTCCATTTGGAGATTATCATACATGCACAGTATGACAGGCACAGGCTGCAGCCAACTGTTTCCTGGGTTACTTGTCCACCAGCCCTTGCGGGGGCCGTCACAGCTTTGGGGTTCCCTGTGCACAGATCAGCTTGGAAGCCCTGTCCTCATTCATCTGACCCTCACATGCTCCGCTCAGTAAAGCCAGTGTTCACAGCTCTAGCGCAGTGGGCACCTCTACCTTGCTCCTTGTCTTGAAGAAGCAGACACACATATGCTCCCAACCCCACCCCACACACACACACACACACACCCAACCCCCCACACACACACCCCCACCCCCACCCCACACACACCCACACACCCCACCCCACACACACACACCCCCAACCCCACCCCACACACACACACCCCCAACCCTACCCCACACACACACACCCCCAACCCCACCCCACACACACGCTCCCCCAACCCCACCCCACACACACACACCCCCACCCCCACCCCACACACACACACGCTCCTCCACCCCCACCCCACACACACACACACACCCCCACCCCACACACACACACACCCCCACCCCACACACACGCTCCCCCCAACCCCACCCCACACACACACACCCCCCACCCCCACCCCCACACACACGCTCCCCCAACCCCACCCCACACACACACACACCCCAACCCCACCCCCCCACACACACGCTCCCCCACCCCACCCCACACATACACACCCAACCCCACCCCACACACACACTCCCCCCAACCCCACCCCACACACATATGCTCACTCCCTGAGAGCCTCTTTCTCCCACAGCCTGCTCCCAGGCCCGCCTTACCCTGCACACAAAGCATTCTGGGTGCCAGAGGGTGTTAAGGGCTGAAATGTAGTTCTCCAGGATGGCTCGGGCACAGCCGCCACATTTGGGCGCAAACATGTCGAAATAATCTTTCCGACAGTAGGCTTTGCCGTCCTTCTCATGGAACCCTGAGGGTTGGGGTGTAGAGGTAGAGTTAGGGCCTCTAGACATTCAGCCACCCTGATTCCACTCCACCACACTCTGGGACATCCCAGAGAGTGACAGGCACGCCTTCCAGCATAGCCATACATACCTTCTGGACCGAAGAAGGCTCCGCACTGAGCACAGAAGAAGTGTTCCGGGTGCCACGTCCGGTCAAGCGCTGTCACTACTTTCTGTAAAAGCAGAAAAGGGGGTCACAAGCAAGGTTCTCATGCTCTGCTCACAGCCAGCGAACTGCAAAGACTAAGTATTTAGAGCTGTTGAGGTATATAACACACACACACACACAGACACACACACACAGACAGACACACACACACATACACACAGATACACACACACAGACACATACATACACACACACACAGACACAAACACACAGACACATAGACATAGACACACACACAGACACACACATACACACACACCCCTCTTCTTCAAACCTCGTGGGCTCAAAGGCCATACTTTTTATTGTGACCCCTACTCTGGGGCCTCTCCCTAGCATCACCCTTTGTGGAAAGTGAGACAGCTGGCACCCAGCCCGCTGTCTATGTGGCTCCTAATCCCAGGGCCACAGCAGCTGAAGTCCAGACAGGAGGTGGCGGGAGCTACAGCGCCAGCTGCGACTCAGCAGGGCCAGACTCGGCCCTGTCACTTCCTGTCTGTGTGAGGCCCGGGGGCTGACGCTTCTCTGAACATTAGACTGAGAACTACAATGAAGATGAAATCCACAGGGGCCGGCCCGGCCCGGCCCACCGCGTGCGTGCGCACTCACATCCAGGATGGGCCCGTTACAGTAGTAACAGCGTGGGGAGAAGAGGCTGTGGTAATCCTTTTCACAGTAAGGCTGTCCGTCCCTCTCGAAGAAGTTCCTGGATCCGATCTCTTCCTGGCAGTGGGTGCAGACAAAGTGCTCGGGGTGCCATGTCTTCCCCATGGCAGTCACAACCTGAGGGGACAGACACAAAGTGGCTCAGGGCGAGGGCAGGGGCAAAGGTCCCAGAGCCGGCCGGCAGGTGGCCCTGCTTCTTACCTGCCCGGCGATGGGCTTCTTGCAGGCCCCACAGACCCCTTTGGCCACCGTGGCGACCCCCAGCTTGTTCAGGTCAGACTGCAGGCTTCCCAGCATGCTGTCGAGCTGGCTCCCAGGCTTTGAGAGTCCCCCAGGGGGTGGGCTGTTCCCAGTTTTCCCCTGGGCCATGAACTGTGGGCACAGAGAAGGCCTGTAAGATTCCCAGGGCCCGGGGTGAGCGACTCACAGTGTAACACTCATGAGGGTGGTACCCTGAACAGACGGGCTGACTGAGGCAAAGGGTAGTGTCCTCTGGGGGCAGGGGGGTGACATCAGCAGGCAGTCCTAGGGACAAGGAGGGCTTCCAGCACCCAGCTGCATGACCAAGCCCAGGGAAAACATGCCAAGTAAGAGCTCAGCCCCCAGCCCGAGCGAGCACTAACCCCTCCCTCGTCCTGCCCTTCGGGGCAGCTCTGCCTGCTGCTGGGGGGCCAGCCGGCTGCCCCCTGCCGCTCTCCATCCGCTCTCTGCTCCAGGCCGTGCATCTTAGAGGGGAAAGAAAGGAGGAGAAGACACTGTTTAAAGCTAAGCTAGAGAGGCCTCGTCACGGGATGGATTCACACAGGGTTTCTCACTACAGGCAGTACCAAAGATGGGGCATGGAGAATGTCTCTAGAGCGAGAGAGCCCGAGACAGAGGCCCGGGAAGGAGAGGGAGAGAAGGCACAGGGCAGGAGAAGGGGAAGGAAATGCTGAAGCCTTGACAGCCGCAGGCAACAGGGGAGGAGAAGCTGGGGTTCCCGGTAGGGGAAGGCTTCCTCTGCTGAAAACGCCCGCCCGGGGAAGGAGCTGGGGTGGGAGGTGCTTTCCTGAGGCGGTGGGTGCCTGGATATCACGTCTGGAGGAGCCAGGGCCAGGTTCTAAGGAGGGACTGTTACTGTGTTGGGGCTGAGGTGGCTCAGGGATGACACAGGGCACGGGTAGGGCAGGTGCTGGGACCCTGGGAGGCATGCCTGCATCGGGAGGAGGAAGAGCGGGTCCTCGTTGGTCTGACAGCCCACAGACCTCACGGTGTGGGGAACAGGAGGGAGGCCAGGAGGGCCTTGCCCGTCCTCCTCCTGGGGCTTTCCCCCTGCACTCTGAGCCCCAGAAGCAGCACAGGTACCAGGCAAGGGCCCTGGACAGGAGGGAGTAGGCAGGCTGGGCCGGAGAGGAGAGCTGCTGGCCAGGGTGTCAGGGTGAGGCTGGAGCAGAGGGCCAGGAGGAGAAGGAGCCACAACAGAGAGGGTTCTTCTCAGGGGGATGGGAGAGTCAGGAGGGTAGATGACCTGGGAAGAAGGCGAGAGAGATACACGGAAGGCGGGAACTCAACAGCAGCCAGCAGAGGGCAGTCACGTGGCCAGCCTTGTCCTAAAGGCCATGGGATGCAGAAACCACCCACCACCCCAAATCAGCCAGCACTGGACCCAGGAGACCTCCAGGCCTGGCTACCTTCTCTACCAGCTGCCCCCTGGCCCGCCTCCCACGTGGCTGCACAGTGATGACAACGCCTTCGGTCAGCCAGTCCTGGGCCGAGGCCCCCGCCACCTCCTCTGCCTCCAGCTGGATGCCCAGCCGGCCCTGCAGCTCTGCAATGAGCCGCTCCTGGGATGGGGTCCTGCTCAGGGTGGCAGGGTCCAGCCGGCGGCGAGGGGAGGGTTCCCGGGACATAGGATGGACGTGGCCCGTCTCCCGGCTCCTCCTGATCACAGAGCGGATCTGGGGGTGGAGGGCAAAGCTGTCACCATCCCATTCCAGGCACTTGGTCCACACTAGGGTTGCCACAGGGGTGGTGACAGCTGAGAAGGACACGCAGAGCTGAGGTGGGAAGCAGGAAGCGGACAGGGCCGGCCCCGCACAGCAGGCTCAGGACACAGGTGCGTGCGGCGCTGCGGCCGCCTCCAGGTCAGCCTCTAACCTTGGACACAAACTTCACTTGCAGGGACCTCCGTCTCTCTAGCCTTACAATAGGACAGCAGCGTTCCCTTGGCTTACCGCATGGGGTCAGGTCACCACAGTAATGATTTGATGGCCCTTCCCTCCCGCTTAAATGGAAAGCGGGGGCTCCCTTTTCTTTACACCTTTTAACTAGTGTTTTTTCTAGCTGCCATTGTAACATACTCATCTGCGGGGGGTGGGGGGCTGGAGAGAGGGGTGTAAAGTTTGAATCATACAAGAAACAAGTAAGACTCACCCAAGCACTCAGGAGGCTAAGGCAGAGCCAAAAGCCAGGGGTGGAGGAGAGAAAACTGTTTCATCTACTTTTCAGGGATTATCCCATCTAACCCTCTGGGTGACCTCGGAAAATGCGCTGTTATTGCTCCCATTTTAAAGAAGAGAAAGCTGAGCCTCTGGGTGGTCCCCTGCAGCCACATGGTTAGCAGGCATTGCCAGAGCGGGGGTGGGTCTCTGTGGTTCCCGAATCCGTTTGTTTTAACCGCACATTCTGCACATTGACACTGGGATGGCACTCCTACAGGCAGTCTTGAGCAAGCAAGAGGCGGAGCATCGCCACTGCTCTGGCCCTGCGGGTCACTGCCCAATACCTCCTCAGGGCCACCACCCTTGGCACTTTCTGCCAGGCAGACATTTGTAGGGGCTGCATGCGGTTAGCAAGGAGTGGCCCACACTCCAGTCCCGCCAGGGTCATGCAAGCTGCTGCACAAGCTGCTGCCTGCCTGGCCTGCCGTGGAAATCCTCTCTGAGGTGCTGGGTGTGCCCACGTCCCCGGCATGAGGAAGCTCCGGCTCTTCCTTCCTGGCCTCCAGGGCGGCTTGAGTGGCACCTTCTGGGTTCCCTGGGTTCTCAAGTGCCTGGGTTGGTCCCCCCAGGCTCCCTCTCCAGGGAATCTTTCCACCTAACTGTTCCTTGTTAGCTAGGGTAGGGCAACCACTTTCCAGGCCCCTGGCTTCTGACTGTGCTTGCTCCCGCTGGCCACATTCCTTGGTGAGGCTCCAGGTGTCTGGGAGGACAGCCTGCCGATCCACTGCCACAGCTGCTGGCTCAATCCCTCCCTGGAAGCTGTAAGCCACTCCATGGGGAATCTCAGGCCTGGATGCTGGCATAGCCTGTGGCCATCTCCAAATGGGAGCCACTGTCTCCTCTGAACAGGCATGGTTGGCCAGCGGCCCCTGTGATCCTATGCTCACAGCAGGGTGTGGGGTGTAGCAGACTGGAGTCCGAAGAAAAGGCTCACTCATGGAGTCTGTGAGGTCATTCCTAACTTGAGCCTGGCTCTCAGCACCAAATGACAGCTGAGAATCCTCCCCTGAGGGACACTGTGAGTTCGGAGTGCCAGACATCCCCTCAAGACTGATCAAAGCAAGCCTTCTGGGAGCCACAGAAGGTAGAAGGACCTGACTATTTCCTTCCCTATGGAGGACTTCTGGGGTGTGGCCTCCAGGGGCGGGTTTAGTGGGGGGAGGAGGAGGGTGAGGAAGGGTGCGGGGTGGGGATGGAGTCGAGCTGGGCAGCAGCCCCTGGGAGCTCAGTGCTACGGCAGGAGAGCTAGTCTGGAAGAGGAAGACAAAGGCAAAGAGAGACACACAGGGAGAGGTCAGGCATGGCCGAAGAGTTCAGAGAGCTGCCATCAGCAACGCACAGACACAGAGTCTTCAGAAAGAGTCTAACCCCAGAAATGCTTGCCTGAGCCTCGTATCCTCACACCTTAGGAGACCCAGGCAACAGAAAGCATCCACAAAGCTTACAAAGTCTCCCAGAGTAAGCAGCAAGGGGACTTGTGACGAGGTGCATGGTGGGAAGAGGGTGCAAACGGGAAGCTGGCCCGGGCACCAGCTCCATGCTCCACACCCCAGCTTTCCTGCACCCTCGAGTCCTTTCTCCAGGGCTCCAAGACGCAGGGCAGCTTTTCCTCGTGTGGCACTGGACTACAAGGTCTAAGAAAGCAGCTGCAGCCTTAGGGGACAGCACCAGCACAGGCTGAGCCTGGACCCTGACTGGCTGCCCATCACCACAGCAACAAAGCTTACCAGCCCCAACTCCACCCGACACCAACCTCCTGCCTTCCACCTCCAAGTAGAGTCCAGCTGAAGGGAGGCAGGAGGCGCTGTCTAGACCAAGAATGGACAGACAGCCTGACTCCCTTCTCATATTCCCCAAGTTGTGCCTCAAAGGTCTCTGGCTGACCCACGAGGAGCTAGAGTCAGCAACTCCTGGAGAGTTCAGTCAGAAATAATCCCTACCCAGACACCATGTTCACCTCCCTGGAGAGACTGGGGGGGGGGGGCACCTCCTGTTGGCTGGCCAGGGGCTTGGCAGGTTAAGTTTCCCACAGACAGGGCTCTGGGAACTCAGGCCCTTAATGAAGAAAGTGAGGGTAGATGCTGGTAAATCCTATCCCCACAGGCAGAAAGAAAGCCGTGTTCTGAGGACAGCTAGCGTAGGAGATACAGCTCTGGGGCAAGTGACCTCTCAGGCATGAGGCCCTGGTCCCACGGGACACACCCTCCCCCACCAAGAGCACACACAGGGCTCTTTGTCACTGTATCCCAGCTCCTGATCCCCTTGGCCTGGTGGCTGGGATCACAGGAGAGGGAGGAACGTCCCAGCTGAAGGAGTCTCTGGTTTCTCTGCCTTCACAGCTGCTAAGGATTACCTAGCCTCTCTCCCCCAGGGCCTCAAGGAGCCGCTGGCCATGGCGAGGTAGGGTAATGGATGCGGGCAGAGAAGACAGAGGGAATCACAGGGCACCTTAAAATCCGACAGTGAAGCCATGAGCTCGTCCAGCTCCCTGGTGGCAGAGGAGGCCGAGATGCGTGTCTGCTGCTGGCTGGAGGTGACTCGCTGTGAGCTGCTCATCTCACCCTGGTTCACAGTGATGGCCGGGCTGCGGGGCACGCACAGAGTCAGTAAGGAGCCCAAGGGTCAGCCCCAGGCTCCAGCGGGATCAGATCAACACCTCCAACTCCAGGGGAGGCCAGCAGCACCCAGCAGCGCCTCAGGGATCCCCATCCCTGAGAAAGAGCGACTGGCTGAGGTGAGGTGAGCAGAGAGGGCAGGTGGCTCAAACAGCAGCCCTCCAGGAAGACAGGGGCACCCTCTCAATGCTGTATACAGATGCGACATTAGTACACAAGACAGTGCAATAAACACTGCCATTAAGACAGGCAGGTGTGAAGGCCTCATCCCTGTAAACCCAGCACTTGGGAAGCTGAGGCAGGAGGATTACTACATAGTGAGTTCCAAAACAGTCTGGGCTATAGAGTGAGACCCTACCTCAAAATAAACAAGCGTCCTTGGAGTGCCACAGCTGCGAGCCAGCCCCTCCCCCCCACAGTACAGGACACGCGATCTGGTCTCGCCCTGCTCACTCTGTGGGGTCACCATCCACTGTCTGCTTCCCCAGCTCACGGTTCGGGTCATTTTTTTGTGCCATGGTCTCAGCAGTCCACACTGCCTTGGGACGTAGCTTATCTAGCCCAGACTGGCCTTGAACCTGAGATCTCCAAGCCTCGACCTCCCAAATGCTGGGATCATAACCACGTGTCACCATGGCCCTCTCTGGATTATTCCAACTTCTACAAGGACAGTAAGACGAGAGCTAAATGTTGTAGCCGGCACAGCCAGCATTTAAACCCTGTGAGGCATCAGTAAACCTGTGCTAACACGCGACTTTCCTGATGGGTCTCCGTGGCTGGTGTGCAGGGCTGGCACCCACATAACTCACACTGTGTCCCCAGGGCCTGGCAAGTAACAGACACTGAAGGGAGCAGGTGACTGCAGGGCTGATCCACAGGATCCGCAGCCCAGAGCCCGTCAGGGTGAGACTTCAAGGGCTTCCCCAGCCTGGGAGAGCCCAGTGGATACTCACACAGGGCTGGGCACAGAACTCTCCAGTTCGTCCAGGAGGCTCTCCACGCTGGGCCGCACATCCTCCAGGCCCCGGGCACCATTCCGCTTTGGCTTCTCCTTCATCAGGGGCCCTGCTTTTCCTCCCAGAGAACTGTTACTCTCTGGGACGCCATAAAGGGGGCTCAAGGCTCCAGGTAGTGGGGGGCTTGAGTTGGCATCATCTTAGAGATAAGGAGACAAAAATGGTTGCTCATCCCTCAGTCCTCCAGGAACCCGCAGGCCCTCGAGTAGCCCGGAGGCCCGCTCACACCTGCAGGGAAGCCTGAAGGGTTGTGCTGTACGGCATTGAGCTCTAGTAACAGACGGTCAAGTTCCGAGAGGTTGCTGCCCAGGGAGGAGCTCATCACCGTTGGCGAGGGCTCCGCGGACTTCTGCTTGTTGGGGAAGCTTTGAGAAGGACAGGAGAGAAGTGAGACCCTTCTGCCCGGCACAGGATGTGGCCGCATTCTCAAGGCCCAGGGGGTGGAATGTTACGAAGTCTCCTCAGCAAGAAGGCGGAGGGTAGGGAAGGAATTGCTTCAGTTCCTCAACTACACAGATGCTCAACTACAGAGATGGCAGGGACAGGGCAGAGGGCAGCCGCTGACAGGCACAGGGCCCGGCAGGGGCCTTCAGGCCTTCTGTAGTTAAACCAGGGGTTCCCAGAGCTGGGCTGAGGTGGGTGCTGGGTCTGTACCTGTAGACGTGCTCTTCCTCGCCTGCTCGGGAATAGAGAGCGCCGTCCTGGGGGTTAGAGGCACCGGAAGTCTTAGCACTGGAGCTGTACACAGGCGATGGGGACGGAGGCTGCAGAAAGAGTCCTCTACTCAGGCCTCTCCCCACGGAGAGACGGAACAGGACACAGGGACAGTTGCCCCCCCCCCAGGCAGCCCCGCTCACAGCCTGTCTCACCGGGGAATTTCCACAGCTAGTCTAGGGTGATTAATACTTGGTCACTGGCCCTCACATGGTGGGTGAGAAGGCCAGTGTGTGACTGGGACAGTCTAGGACCCCGGTCCATCCCCAATGGCTTGCCATGTCCTTGGCAGATGGCTCCTGTTACCACTCAGCCCCCGAGGGCGTCTCAGACTCACCTGCTGGTGAGCGTATCGGGAACCACTAGGCTGCCCCTGATCTAAGGGGTCAAGGATTGTGCCATTGAGGGCCTCGCTGGACGGGGGTGGCGGGACAGGAGGCGGCACTGAAATCTCCTGGTAGGTACGGGTTCCGGTTGGGTAGGAGTAGGGAGGCTCCTCTGACAAGAACACCGGCCTTTTGGAGATATGGGAGGTGGTCGATTCCAAGTCCGCCAGCAGGGCGTCTGCAAAGAGAAGGTGAGAGTTGGCCTACTGGTTATTCCCAGGGACGGTGCCTGCCTTCGGGGCCTGAAGAGATCCAGCCCGGCAGGCACCTGCTGCATGGATGGGAGAGGAGACCTGGGCGTCCCACATCGGCTGCCCTGTCCCCTCCTCCCTCAAATGTGAGATGCCTGGCTCTGCACTCCTGCTGACAAGGCTGGTGTAAGAAATGCCTGCCTGGACGTCTGACTCCACCGGGTGGGCGGGAGGAGCCCTAGGGCATGGCACAGCATGGGGGGGGGCTGGGTAGACACAGCCAGTCCCCTCTGGACTCCTGACAGCCTCGGCCCCAGTCTGAAGGGAGGTGGCCCTAGGGAGCACCTGTGCTCCAAGCAGGAGCAGAGTCCCCTGCTCTAAGCTCCTCCCAAGGCCCCAGGCTTTGGGTAAGGTATGTAGAGAGGTTGGGGGCTGGCATGAAGCCAGCTCGGCAGTTGCCACCCCCACCCCCTCAACAAGCTGGGGGCAAGACTGCTCAAAGCCTGGCGAGCAGCCCAGCCCTAGAAACTCCAGGGCCCCACGACTCTGCTTTTAACGCGGGGTGGGGGTGGGGGTGGGGGTGGGGTCAGCCTTCCAATGCAAGCTGCCATTACCCTGACATGCAGTAGCCAACAAGAGGCTCTCGACAGGAAGGGGCAGCTAGAGGGGCAGAGCTGGAGGTGCTGGCCTTCCTGCCTTAGCCTCTCATCTTGGGACCTTCCACAGGCCCTGGGTATGTCCAACCCTGGTCACCACACCCTCCATCCTGCACTGCTCACTGACTGCTCACTCAGCTCCTAGTGGCCTGCTCCCGGGCCCTCCGGAGTGGCAATCAGCGGCCGCACTGGTCACCGTCCACCAGGAACCACTAGAGGCATCTACACGCGTGTCACAAGTGCCCCTCCTGGTGACCTGAAAGTCCCAACTGCTCTCTTTAGCTGGGCAAAGCAGGCTTGGAGGCTACAGTACCTGCCCCAGGTGACGAAGCAGGAAAGGGCAGGGTCACATGACTCCTCAGACCCCCCAAGCCCCAGACACCAAACCTGCAGGAGGGGCTGCTGTGGTGACAAGGTGACACCAAATCTAAGGAACCCAACTTCCGACACGCCAGGGGCTCTCGCTCTGTCGGCTGTCACTCAGGTCCTTGTGGCAGCCCTGTCCCCAACCCCATTCCCATGCAGAGAGAGAAAAAGGAAGCAAGGGGCTTATCCAGGCCTATAAGGCCATGCCCTCTCCCAGCAGCCCTGACTACGTCACTAAGGTGGGTGCACCTACCCCTGGCTCCTGCTGTATGGCTGGACGAGAAGTTGCTCCAAGGCCAGGACCCTGGGTCCCAGTCTCCTGCTGCTGAAGAGATTCTGCTCCTGTGGCCCCTCCCCTTCCAGGCCCCCAGCGGAGCGCTCTGATTTCCTGCCTCTAACACCCGGAACTACAGGGAGTCTCTAAGCGGCTAGGTAAGGGCAGAAAAGGAACTAATGTCCAAGGCCAATCCCAGAGACATCCGTTCCTAGGGCCACACCTGCTGTCCATTTCCTCTGGGCCCAACCCAAAGTAGGCGGAACCCTCTTCCTCGGTCATAGACTGAGCCCGCAGGGCTGCACGGGGCAGGCCACAAATGCAGCCCTGATGGGACTGGCAAGGGCAGACCTGTGCCACCCCAGGGTCACCTGTGGAGCTCACCATCCTCCCCAGCAACTGAGGTCCCTCCAGTCCAACCACTGCAAGGAAGAAACAGCCTCCCCTGCGAATCGGGAGTCCCTGCCCCGCACCCATGGTGCCATGCTGGATCTGGCCGTCTTGCGCATGGTAACGTCCACCTCTGAACTACACCCTGATGCCTGGAAACAGAGACAGGGAGGGTCCTGTTATGTAAACCAGGTGTCCCAAGCTCTCAATTCCCTACCTCTGTCACCACCCCCAGCTTCACATGCCTTTCTCATGTTTTCTTTTCGCTTGCGTGTGTGCCTGTGTGTGTCTGTGTGTGCGTGCATGTGCATGTGTGTGCACGCGCATGTGCACACATGTGCGAGCCACATGGAGGTTGGAAGTCTGTGTCAGGTGAGCTCTTTTATCACAACCACTTTGGTTTTGGGTTTTTTTGTTGTTGTTGTTGCTGTTGGGTTTTTTTTGTTTTGTTTTGTTTTGGTTGTTTTGTTTTTTTGAGACAGGGTTTCTCTGTGTACCTCTGGCTATCCTGGTACTAACCTCTGTAAACCAGGCTGGCCTCGAACTCACAGATATTCACCTGCCTCTCCTCTTGAGTGCTGGGATCAAAGGCGTGAGCCACCATCTGGCGCAGAACACAACTGTGTAAAGTTGGTTCTTTCCTTCCACTTTTGCATGGGTTCTAGGGATTAGATTCAGGCCACCAGGCCCACAGCACCTTTACCCACTGAACCATCTCACCACATACGGTCTATGCAGCCCTGCCATCCTAGAGCTCTATGTAAAACAGGCTGGCCTCAATAACCTGTCCCTGGGATCCACCCATTTCTACCCCCACAGCACTGAGGTTCTAGACACACATTGCTACATGACACACATTGCTATACAAGGTTTTTACATGGGAGATGAAGATCTAAACCCAGGTCCTTGTGATTGTATATCACACACTTTATCCACTGAGACATTGCCCCAATTGCTTCCACCCTCCCTGCCTGCCTGCCTGCCTGTCTCCCTCCCTCCCCATTTATGGAGAGGTTTGGGGCCAGCAAGACAGCTTAGCATGTTTGCTACTACATCTGCTGGCTGGAATCCAATAGACCCTGGGACCCACACGGTAGAAGCAAAGAACAACTCCTGCCCGTTGTCCTCTGGCCACCATTACACACACACACACACACACACACCACATACACCACAACACTCATACACAAATACACACACACCACACACTCACACACCACACACATACACAGTCACACACACACCACACACACACACCACATACAATACAATGTAAAAATTAGATGGGGTTGGAGAGATAGCTCAGGCATTTTAAGAATACCCGCTGTTCAGGCAGAAGCCCCATGTTTGGTGTTCAGAGCCTGCATCAGGCAGCTTACAGCCTGCTCTAGAAGTCTCCAAAGCCTCTGGCCTCTGCAGGCCTCTGCACTGGCGTATATAAACATACACAGACACAACCTCAAACGTGGTCAAAAAGAAATCTTTACAGATCAAGAAAAGAGACCCATTTAGGGTTTACAGACAAGCTCTAGGTGATATGGACAGTTGGGCCTAGCTCAGCCCTAGACTTCTCTTCAAGGCCCACTCTAACTACTCAGGTATTGGTGTTGGAAAGAACTTGAGAAAATAAACCTCTCTTCTTTAAAAAAAAAAAAATTATTTGGGACTGGAGAGATACTTCCACAGTAAGAACACTGGTTGCTCTTGCAGAGGACTTGGTTTGGTCCTCAGCACCCACAAGGAGGCTCACAAGTACCTGTTAACTCTAGTGACAGGAAACCCAACCCCTTCTCTCAGACTGTGAAGGCACTGCATACATTCGGTGTACCTGCACACATGCAGGTACAACACCCACACACATAAAGTAACGTTTATTTATTATTTATTTCTGCGCACGTGCACATGAGCACAAGGTCAGAGGACACATTACAGGCTTCTCCCGCCTCGTGACAGCCTGTGCTGCATGGAAGTTTCAGTGTTGGGCTGCAATCGCACAGCACATCTGGACTTACAGGGTGCTGGACTACAGCCCAGCACCCCTGTATCTGGACTCACACAGGTGCTAGGGATGGACTCAAGCTGCAGGCAGGCCAACCCTGACCCACTGAGCCGTCCCTCATTGTGAATAGTTCTTACCCTGCAGTTTATTAAGGTTGGCCCATGGGAAATGCATTAGCGGTGATATCAAACCATGTACTATGTGACATCCAGAAAAAACCCTTGCTCTTTTCTGGGTAAAATGTGAAGACAGCCTGGACCAGATGGGGGTGGTGCACACCTTTAATCCCACCACTCCACTGAGGAGGCAGAGGCAGGCCTATCTGCCTGGGCTATAGAGGTTCAAAACAGCCAGGGCTACACAGAGAAACCCTGTCTCCAAAACAAAAACAACAACAACAAAGAAGAGCATTGAGAGAGAGAGAGAGAGAGAGAGAGAGAGAGAGAGACTCTCAATCAAGAAGAAAACACACTATCTCCCAATTTCCTGCACATGTTTGACTACCTGAGAGAGGAACTTTGGCAAGTACCTAAACAGACACCTCTGACATGGCTTCCTCTTCTCTCTTCACCCTGAGTCCTTGCCTGGTAGCTTGAGCTGGAGCCCCTGGACCCTAAGCTGTTAAAAAGAATATAGGAGGCAGCCAAAACAGACTCTGGATTCCTACGCTGCAGATCTTAGCATTTCCCACAGGCTGCAAACTGGTTAAAGGCTAAAGTCCCCTGGAGCTCAGCAAACTCCTCCCCTGCTTGAGTAAACAGAGCCAGGAAGAAGCCGGCATAGGAGTCTACCTGCCAAGAATTTCCCCCAGATTTCAGCCATGCTACAACCTTTGCCCAGCTCTAAATACACAAGGGGTACTGGGAACTCCTTCACCTCACACCCCAATGGTCACACACAGCTCCACAGAGCCTCATCCCCTCACAGACCCTCACAGACCCTCACAGACCCTCACAGACCCTCACAGACCCACACAGACCCACACAGACCCTCACAGACCCACACAGACCCACACAGACCCTCACAGACCCACACAGACCCACACAGACCCTCACAGACCCTCACAGACCCACACAGACCCACACAGACCCTCACAGACCCACACAGACCCACACAGACCCACACAGACACACACAGACCCTCACAGACCCTCACATGTCCATCTCCTCACAGACCTGTCTCCATCCTCCTCACACTCCATTCTCCATCCTCCTCACATGCTAGAGGCCTCAAAATTCTTCAGCCAAATTGCCAGGTCAAGGCCTGACGCCATTGCAACTCAAATGCAAGGCCTAAACCTTG